TGGTTGGACCCTTAAGGGGATATTGAACACAAGCTGCAGAGCAAACTAAACACAGCTTATTAATGAGCTCAGGCAGACAAAAGAGAGAAAGAGAGGGAAGACAGTAAAAGTCACAGGCATTAACTGGAGAAACGACAGACATTTATTTTTCCTCTTCGCCAAAAATCTAATTTTGGAGCTGAATGAGACATCTGCGATCTAAAGACACCTGGAGAAGCAGAACGTCTCCACGTGGCTCAATCGGAGGCGCTAATAATCTTCATGTTGATCAAAGTGGCCACACTGAGTATCGACTCAAGTGCCAAGAATAAATAAAAAAAAAAAATTAATGCATTCGTAAGACATTTAATGAGCGCTCAGCTGAGTAGCATTCAAATTAAATGTCCAAACACAACATGCTCAGATACTTGTGCTGATCTATTCTGCAGAACGCCTCATTGAAACATGAGTAATGGAGTTTCCATTCAGCAGTTTGTACTGTGAATCGTGGGCTGTTACACCTGCAGTCTAACAGCAGAATGATATACACAAGCTGTATTATTACAAATCACAACTAAGATGAAAGAGAATTGTGCTTTATACGAACAAGTGAATGTGGACAAGCTGTCTAGGTGACTTCTAGGTTAAGCCGCATGAAGGCATTACGCCTGTAGGCCGTCCGCAGTCCATTCACTGACTGTCTGATTCATACTGCTCAAAGAACTAGAAAGGACTCAATGTGGCAAGCTCTAATCTGATTGGCTGACATAATACAAATTACAGGTGTAAGAGTACACCGGACACACGCTTCTTTTTATTAGTCCACCTGGAAAAAAGTAGTGTTTACAAGGTACTGGGTGGATAAAATGAGCACTTTTGAGGAGTAAATAAATCGTATTTAATTGGAGGATTAAATAATCACTGGATTAGTTACTTCATGCTTTTAGATTGACGGGATTGCAGATTCGTTATGCACATTGCATTTACAATTCCACCTAAACGTGTCTCCTCAAAACGGATATAAATTACATCTACTCTTCCAGTGCTAAATGCAAATGCTAATGTAATACCAGGCAATGTAATTTTCTGTTGAACACTCTCTCCACTTAACAAACATTTGCATGTGGACATAATTCCATTTTAGAGAAGGAAAGTTTTTGCATGTGTTTATACATGTTTTAGCTCTCTAATCAGTAAAAAAAATTTGTAAATTCCCCCAAAGTTAATGGCCAGGTTAGTGGCATTAAACCTTTGAAAGACACTTGTTAACAGACACTTAACTAGATAATAAACTAGATATTAAACAAAAGCAAAAAAGCAAATAAAAACAAAAAGCAAAAAACAAACAAAGCGAAACACAACAAAAGCAAAAATCCAAATAAAAATGCAGATCAAAGCACAGCAAAGTATGGGTGCGAATCTGCACTGGTTTCACAATTCGATTCAATTACGATTATCATGTCAATGATTTGATTCAATTCAATATCACGATGCATCACGATGCGTTGCACCCTAATTTTTTTAATAATTACAAATTAATAATAAATCAAAACAATTGTTAAGAATTTAAGCAACTAAACACAGCTTCAAAACATACAAGCAAATATAATGTAATAAAAGGGGAAAAAGACAATTACAAGTGATAAACAAAATATCTGAGAATGCTTTAAGTATCCGAATGTTTACAGACAATCATAGTTATGGGTTTTTCTTTTTTCCTCAGCATTATTGCTGTTTGAATATTACTGATGAGATCATAGACAGAGGCGGCTTCAATAGGCTGCATTCACACTAATGCACAGATCTATTTCGACATATCAGATGTTTTGTCCTGTTCTGAAAACATAACTGACTGTGTTTACATCAATTTCGTATCATAAAAGTATTCAGAGATGCTGGTGCAATTAACCCGAGCCGTGAGCTTCAGGACAACAAACACAAAGCACACTTGAAAGTCTGTCAGTACGTGAGTTTCACATATGTGTCATATTCCAGCCTGGTCTCATGTTTATACGTAGGTATTAATACGTCAAATTTACAAGCACTTTTGTACGTTTTTATTAATGCGAAAACTTACAATTTAGACGTATTTCAACGTTTAAAACGTACAAATCGCTACGTATTTTTTAGCTAAAAAACGTACAAATATTTAAGTATCATTTATATCATCAAGATATTCGTATCAATGCATTTTTATCATTTTATCAATACGCAATTTAGATTTTTAGACCCCTTAACCTACCCCCAAACCAAACGCTAATTCCACTCCTACTTATAAACCTAAACATTTCTGTACTGTATAAGAAAAACATGACAGACAGAAATGCAATTATACAATCATTTATTTATTGCAAAAATGTCAAAAGGAGTACCAAAAGTAATCCAAATGACGATGCATTGCACCCGCAGTCCTCTCTGGCGGAATACAGTAGGTTTGTGTGATCCAGAGCAGAATTTAAGTTGTTAATCGTTGAAAATATTATCCAGATAATTTTCCTGATCCACTCCGTGAACTCGTGAAGGCGCGCGCGCATCATTCAAACACAGAAACACGGCATGTTGCAATCTGTGACGAATGCAGGCGAGAGCCAATGAGCATTTGATTATCCTGCCGTAAAACCTGTCATTTGAAGCCGCAACATTTGAATTTGTAAAGAGCGTGTCAGTCAGACTCAGCGCGGGCTTTGCTGCTCACGGTCACTGGACTCGCTGCTCGGGATGAAGAGGCAAGCAGATCGCCAAATAAAGGCTTGGATTTGGGTCTGTTCTTTGCAGCCCTATGGATTCGGAAGATTTGGATTACAGCGCACTAATAAAATTGCTTCATTTCGTAATTATGTTGCGTTTTTGGTGTATTTTATAGTTCTATTGTCAGTCACAGCATCTCTGAGAAAACGCCTTTTGTGGCCCATGACAATCAAAGTAAACCTTACATGACAAGTAAAGGTTAAACGATTGCAGAAATGTTATAAACAAAATATCTGAGAATGCTTTAAGTATCCGAATGTTTACAGACAATCATAGTTATGGGTTTTTCTTTTTTCCTCAGCATTATTGCTGTTTGAATATTACTGATGAGATCATAGACAGAGGCGGCTTCAATAGGCTGCATTCACACTAATGCACAGATCTATTTCGACATATCAGATGTTTTGTCCTGTTCTGAAAACATAACTGACTGTGTTTACATCAATTTCGTATCATAAAAGTATTCAGAGATGCTGGTGCAATTAACCCGAGCCGTGAGCTTCAGGACAACAAACACAAAGCACACTTGAAAGTCTGTCAGTACGTGAGTTTCACATATGTGTCATATTCCAGCCTGGTCTCATGTTTATACGTAGGTATTAATACGTCAAATTTACAAGCACTTTTGTACGTTTTTATTAATGCGAAAACTTACAATTTAGACGTATTTCAACGTTTAAAACGTACAAATCGCTACGTATTTTTTAGCTAAAAAACGTACAAATATTTAAGTATCATTTATATCATCAAGATATTCGTATCAATGCATTTTTATCATTTTATCAATACGCAATTTAGATTTTTAGACCCCTTAACCTACCCCCAAACCAAACGCTAATTCCACTCCTACTTATAAACCTAAACATTTCTGTACTGTATAAGAAAAACATGACAGACAGAAATGCAATTATACAATCATTTATTTATTGCAAAAATGTCAAAAGGAGTACCAAAAGTAATCCAAATGACGATGCATTGCACCCGCAGTCCTCTCTGGCGGAATACAGTAGGTTTGTGTGATCCAGAGCAGAATTTAAGTTGTTAATCGTTGAAAATATTATCCAGATAATTTTCCTGATCCACTCCGTGAACTCGTGAAGGCGCGCGCGCATCATTCAAACACAGAAACACGGCATGTTGCAATCTGTGACGAATGCAGGCGAGAGCCAATGAGCATTTGATTATCCTGCCGTAAAACCTGTCATTTGAAGCCGCAACATTTGAATTTGTAAAGAGCGTGTCAGTCAGACTCAGCGCGGGCTTTGCTGCTCACGGTCACTGGACTCGCTGCTCGGGATGAAGAGGCAAGCAGATCGCCAAATAAAGGCTTGGATTTGGGTCTGTTCTTTGCAGCCCTATGGATTCGGAAGATTTGGATTACAGCGCACTAATAAAATTGCTTCATTTCGTAATTATGTTGCGTTTTTGGTGTATTTTATAGTTCTATTGTCAGTCACAGCATCTCTGAGAAAACGCCTTTTGTGGCCCATGACAATCAAAGTAAACCTTACATGACAAGTAAAGGTTAAACGATTGCAGAAATGTTATTTATTTTACGGTTTAAAGTAAAGTCGTGTTTATGCAGGCATATTCTTGGAAACGAGCTGGCAGCAGAAATCACACAACAAAACGAAATGTTATCATTTCATAAGTAAATGAGTAAACAATTTAATAATGCAATTGAAAACAAGGTAATTCATATGACAACTAAAAACTAATAAAATTAATGCCGCGATTTCAATATTCATAAGGATTATTTTTTAGGTGTCGTCAATACGTCAGTTTTGTACGTTTAGAGGCTGAAAATATGTCAGTATTGTACGTTTTAGTGCCTGTAAAAACGTACGTAAATGTACGTTTTATAGAACCACATTTTACGTAAAAAAAGATTTTTCTCCCACCTCTACAGCAAAGCAAAAAACAAAACAATAAGAAAAACAAAGAAAAGCAAAGCAAAACAAAAATACAAAAAAAGGAAAACAAAATAAAAAAATTAAAAATAAACTCAAAACAGCAAGCAAACAAGCAAACAACAAACAAAATAAAGTTTGTTTTGTTTTGTTTGAAGTGAAACAAAAAACAAAAAAGCAAAGCCAAGCAAAACAGAAAGTGCTTGGAGAATGTGAATGAAATTGAAGTGGTTGGTGACGTTACACATTGGTCAAAATGGTCTCTTCCCGCTCAGAATAAGCTGCAGTGTATCCCAGACCTTTTTGTCATTTGGCATAAAATCTGGCTATGTGAGACTACATGTGACTTTAAGCAGAACTGACCATGGTATGTGCGATTCCACATCCTCTTATTGATAACGTCCCCTGGGGGCCTCACACCTGACCGATCCAGAGTCTCATTTAGGGCATGAGAATACAGCATGACTCCATCGTGGAATGAGCCAGAAATCAGATTCATCTGGAAGAGAGGAAGTGCACAAATGACATACTAGCATTAAATCTCTAAATAACTGGGGTTTGATTAAATTTGATTACTTTTATTAGATTACAAGCTCTCTAGAGATCATAGCGATAGAAAAGTTGACAGCATCGCAAGACTGTAATTCCATGACCCACACAAGACTGTGTGCTAAGAAAAATGGCAGCATTCCTAATGTTGTCCGTCATTCTGTCATTCTCCGACTCACCTCTGCTTCACTGTTTAATATCACACATTCCTCCTAAATATGTTGAAATGCATCCTGTTTCTCTGTTTCTCCGTGTTTATTTAAACACATGGAGTATTTGTTTGATAATGGAAATACATTATAAAATGGTGATAAGGAGTTGGTCACTAAGAACTATTTCAAACTTGTTATTTACATGAGGAGGAGCACCACTAATTCTCAGAACTGAACCCACACCCTAAAGTGCAGAATATACAGTTAATATACATCTGAATTCAGTCATATTTATTAAATAAAATATTATTTTTGTCCTTGTCACTGTGTTTAACTTGCATGAAGCCTGAACGTTGTCTCTTTGTCACAACGAGTGAATTCATTCCATAATTCTATTAGTTCATAAAAACCATATATGTGACCCTGGATCACAAAACCAGTCTTAAGTTGCTGGGGTATATTTGTAGCAATAGCCAAAAATACATTGTATGGGTCAAAATTATAGATTTTTCTTTTATGCCAAAAATCATTAGGATATTAAGTAAAGATCATGTTCCATGAAGATATTTTGCAAATTTCCTACTGTAAATATATCAAAACTTCATTTTTGATTAGTAATATGCATGGCAAAAAACTTCATTTGGACAACTTTAAAGGCAATTTTCTCAATATTTTGATTTGTTTGCACCTTCAGATTCCAGATATTCAAATAGTTGTATCTCGGCCAAATATTGTCCTATCCATATACCAATGGAAAGCTTATTTATTCAGCTTTCAGATGATGTATAAATCTCAATTTTGAAAAATTGACAATTAAGACTGGTTTTGTGGTCCAGGGTCACATATT